GATGCATTAAGAGGACTAACTCTTCCTATCAGACGAATTGATGCAATAAACTTGCCTTCAAAGCTGCCATGAAAGACAATCGCTCAAAATCAAGTGCAAGATGTGGCACTCCCTACAAAATGCATGGGAGAAGGTTTTGATCCTAATGCTTACAAGTTATTTGCGAAGTCCGGATATAACCCTAATAAGCCATCAATGTTAGGGAAACTCCCATCAGTTGATAAAACCAAGCAAGCACGTGAAGGCCTAGGCTATAACCAACCACCGCCAGTTCGCATCTCCACAAGAAGAACAAGCAATAATCATATAACTTTTGAAGATGATGTCACTGCTCCCAATAAAAAGCCTTTCGTCTTTGATCGACTTGGAGAATCGACTGCAAACTTCTGTGTTTGAGAGATTAGGTCCATTGAAGAAGAAAAACAACAAGCATCGGAGAAGTTATCTAAAAGTGACAACGCTGACTTCATCTATGATCCAAAAGGAATTCAAAAGTTTGGTTCCTTCTAGAATGAGGCAACGAGTGGAACTTGTGGTTTCGTGTAAAGAGGAACTCAAGGCAAAGGCTCATACTGTGGTTTACACCAAGGAACGCGAGGAAGATGAAGAAAGTGTAGGCTCATCATATCATGTTGCAATCCAGAATGAGCACGATTATTTGCCTCAAATGAAGATTGATGAAGAGTTAGAAGATATTGTCTAGTGTTGTCATATATCTGTCAATGACAATGACCTTCTATAAGAGGAAGATGCTGGAGACCCTCTATAGATCCCTTAAATGAAGTTAACCTTGGCACTGATGAAGACCCAAGGCCTACTTACTTGAGTGCCTTTCTAGAAGTTAATGAAGAAATCGCTTACATAAATATACTCAAAGAATATAGGGATGTCTTCGCTTGGAGTTATAAAGAAATGTCTGGCTTGAATCCTAAAGTAGCAGTCCATCAGTTGGCAGTCAAAAATGGTGCTCGTCCTGTTAAGCAAGCCTAAAGACGTTTTAGGCCAGACTTGATTCCATTGATAGAGAATGAAGTCAACAAACTCATTGAGGCATGATTCATTCGTGAAGTTAAATATCCTACATGGATTTCAAATATTGTTCTTGTAAGGAAGAAGAATGGCCAAATTCGAGTTTGTGTTGACTTCAGGGATCTCAATAATGCATGTCCTAAATGTGAGTTCCCTCTTCTCATTCTTGAACTAATGATTGATGCCACCACTGGTTATGAGGCGATGTCATTCATGGACGGTTCTTCTGGCTATAATCAAATCCGCATGGCACCAAAGGATGAAGAACTCACCGCATTTCGCATGCCTAAATGTATTTATTGCTACAAAGTGATGCCTTTCGTTTTGAAGAATGCTGGTGCTACATATCAAAGGGCTATGCAAAATATATTTGATGACTTGCTCCATAAAAATGTTGAATGTTATGTGGATGACCTGGTGGTAAAGTCGAGAAAGAGGAGTGATCATTTGAAAGACTTAAGAATGGTGTTTGAGTTGCTTCAAAGATATCAACTAAGGATGAATCCATTGAAGTGTGCCTTCGGAGTTACTTCTGGAAAGTTCCTTGGCTTCATTGTGAGATATCGAGGAATTGAAATAGATCAAGCCAAAGTTGATGCAATATCGAAGATGCCTGAGCTTCGAAATATTCATGAGTTAAAAAGTCTCCAAGGAAAACTAGCCTACTTGAGGAGGTTCATCTCAAATCTAGCAGAGAATGTTGCAAATTTTATCCGAGTGAATATCATCTATCGCTTTGGCATCCCTCGCTACATAATAACAGACAATGGCAAGCCATTTGATAATAAGTTAATGAACAAAATTTGTGATCTCTTTGGTTTCAAACAACGTAAATCTTCTATGTATCATGCTGCCGCCAATGGTCTCGCTGAAGCATTCAATAAGACTCTATGCAACCTCCTGAAGAAAGTTGTCTCCAAGTCCAAATGGGATTGGCATGAAAGAATGGAAGAAGCTTTGCGGGGATATAGGACGACGTACCGTACTCCAACTCAAGCAACACCATATTCACTCACTTTTGGTGTTGAAGCAGTCCTACCACTTGAGCATCAAATACCTTCCTTAAGACTTGCTATTCAATAAGGGATCACTGAAGAAGAAAATGCTCGACTGCGTCTTGCTGAGTTAGAAGCACTTGACAAAAAGAGGCTAGAAGCCCAACAAAACCTTGAAAAGTTGAGATGAGAGGAGAGTTTAATTAAGGGACTTGACGAAATTAATTTGTTTGCAACAAATTTTAAATATATGGAAAATAAATAAACCACACAAATAAAATCTGAAGAAGCATAATATTTATTCATCAATGCGAGTACAATTTTGTTCCTCGCTTGATTCTACTCTCATAAGATTTATCCATGATTCGAGGGACGTTAGTGGCGTATTTCTCGAACTAGGATGATTTAAATTTGACCTCTATATGAATATTCCATGACTTTTGTGGAATATATCGAGATATCGATCTCTTTATGAAATTTTTTATATGCCTTTTAAGAGAATTCAGTACCCTTTATATAGGCATAAACTAGGGTTTAGGGTTGAGTAGCCTCTAAGAATTCTAATTGAAACTAAACACACCTTCTAGAGTTTCAATTCGAATTGAATACGTCTTGTAGAGTCCCACAAAATTTCAATGTCTACAAATTCCCATGTCAAGGCTTGTCGAAGTGTAGACTCGATGAAACTAAAAAACGAGGCTTGAAGTACTCATTCTTCCACCTTTGCAGCTTCAGATTTTCAAGTCCCACTGGGCGTGCCAATTTGTTTGCAATAAATTTTTAAATATATGGAAAATAAATAAACCACACAAATAAAATCTGAAGAAACGTGAATTTTATTGATAAATCAATGCGGGTACAATTTTGTTCCTCCCTTGATTCTACTCTCCCTTGATTTATCCATGATTCGAGGGCCGTTAGTGGCCAATTTGTTTGCAATAAATTTTTAAATATATGGAAAATAAATAAACCACACAAATAAAATCTGAAGAAGTATAATATTTTATTCATCAATGCGAGTACAATTCTGTTCCTCCCTTGATTCTACTCTCCTGAGATTTATCCATGATTCGAGAACCGTTAGTGGCGTATTTCTTGAACTAAGATAATTTAAATTTGACCTCTATATGAATATTCCATCAATTTGCAGAATATTCGAGATTTCGATCTCTTTATGGAATTTTCGAGATGCCTTTTAAGAGAATTTAGTTTTCTTTATATAGGCATGAACTAGGGTTTAGGGTTGAGTAGCCTCCAAGAATTCTAATTGAAACTGAACACACCTTCTAGAGTCTCAATTCGAATTGCACACGTCTTGTAGAGTTCCATAAAATTTCAATGTCTACAGACGAAAAATTCTGGGACATTCTCAAATTTTCATGTCTCGCCTACTTTTGATGCAGATGATTATCGGTATGTCCAACACTTAATTTTTTTTATTTAAGTTAATTGCATGAGGCAAATATTTATACTTTTTTACACATATAGGAAAAATATCACACAAGATGAACCCATTGATCCTGTGAATATCAATGATCGTGACCTTCCAAATTACGGCTCACCTTCAACTAGTGATAGTGATGATTTGCCTAATGCTTAGGAATCAGGAGATAATGTTTCATTTGAGGCATCATCTAGTGATGATGATTTTTTTATGCCCAATCGGTCACCAATACCAATGTCCATGAGTCCTTTTTGTAATCATGAAATTCCTTATCTTGATCATCTCCCAGATGGTCCAGATATCTTTGGCGATACACATGATGAATATACATCACAACGTATACCTTTTTATTTGATAATTAATATTGTTTTTATTTTTAAGATTTTTCATCAAAGACTGTCAAACAACCATTCTTAAAGCAAATGACATTTTGATTAAAAATCTTTAACCAACAACAAGCTAAATTAGACATGAACTTGATTAATTGCCTTATCAATTGTTTTACTAAAGAGTAGGGTATGCATTTTCTGATTAAATCGAAAAATCAAACCAAATCGAACCGAATGTTAATTAATTTGAATTGGTTTTCTTTTTATCTTTTTGGTTTTGTTTGGTTTTGAGTTAAGAATTCAATTACTCTTTTTTGTTGATTCAGATTTAGAAAAATAAAATTGATAAACCGAAAAAAACAAATTATTTATTTAGTTATATATCATCTCAAAAGTTATTTAGTATCCAACCTCATAACTGAAAATCAAAGTGATTTAATTTTGTGAAAGGAATGTCTATGGGAAAAACTTACCCACACTTAGTATACACCCACCAAATTGAATATCATCCTACTAGAAAGTTCTGTTAATGTCATATTGAAGTGAACATGGGAGAAGAGGTCTGAAAACACTCTATGGGCAGTAATTTTTCCAATAAGAGAGTGTGACAAATCATCACTGACTCCCTACCCTAGAATGAACTTTATAAACCATGTGTGACATTACATAGCAAAGTTTCATTTAATTAATCTATCATTCCTCTCTTGGAGATTGTTGAAAAGGTTACCTTCTAATGAAATTTAACTAAATTTGGTAAACAAGTGTTAGTAAATGTTATAGTAACGCTTGTCGTGAATCTTTAGAGCATCTATTTGTATAGGCAATTGTGGATCTTCTTTGGATCACTACTACTAGGAAATGGGAATCAATGCTCCTATGTTAAATACCATATGCACTTTGTAGAATTGGTGGAGGATTAAACCTCTCAATGGGATATACAAAACATAGCTCTTATCATGGTCAACTTGGAGATATGGAAACATACATGTCTTGTAAATATGAAGACCAAAGAAAATATTGGGGAAAATATGCAACATCAATATTTTTGAAAATTAAATTGAGCAATTGATAATTCAATTTGTCAATGCACTCGCCACAATCAATATATATAGGTAAAAGCTTCCTTACTTATACTAGTAAGGCTAACATATTGGTGTCAACTTTCTAATCAGGCTCTAGGGAAATCTTAATAGTTCAGTTCTATTACACTAGAACAAACCCAAAACATAAGTAAAAAACAAATTGTTTGTTGTCAATGACTATATCTTGAACTAGGTCATCTCCATTAGCTTCGTCATCCTAATTAAAATTGCACAATATTTTGTTCAAACAACTTTTTATATTTAAGCTAAGCAGAAAACACCGAAAACGAATAAGGAAAATAACTAAATTAATTGTTATCAATGACCATAGCTTGAGTTTCAGATTCATAGATACATTGCCATGTCTAGCTTCAGATTCATTGCCATCTCCATTTTCGGATACATTTCTAGCTTGATATTCATCGCCATTTCTAGCTTCGGATTCATCGCCATTTCCAACTTCGGATACATCTTCGTATACAACACAATCTCCAACCTCTAAAAACATATCATCGGAACGCCTATGCACTTCTGTTATCGACACTGTTAACTGTGTAGTCTCTGGTGTAATGATAACATGAAAAATAAACTTCACTCCATATGACTTCCACCACCATCACCTCTTTCAACTCCACCACTTTCTTCATCTTTCTTCTCACATTGTTCGTCCACTGACATCTTATACCTACAGATCGGACACGATCCATTTATCCCCAACTACTTGTCAATACAAATCGAATGAAAATTATGTTTACAAGGCATTTCCTTAGCTTCCTCGCTAATTTCAAAACCCGACAAACATAAAGAGCAATCAATCCCTTCACCTAAAACCTTAACTATCGGTATCGCTTCAATGGAAGATCTTGATGCAGGTACAACCTCTTCCAAAATAGGTTTTGCATTAATAGGACGAACTTGGATGAATGAGATTGAGTTGTTTATTGCATTCACGAGTCCCACATCAGTACGTACAAATTCTTGTCGTGAATTAGAGAAGGAGAATCAGAAAATATAAGGAAGAATCATTGCTTTGGCTTCAGTTGGGGTTAGCCATTCGATAGATGTAAATAACTCCGATGTCACCTCCATATCCATACCTATAGTTTACTGAAAGTTGACGAGAGAGACAGAGGACATTTTTTTGTTGAAGGATGGTGTTTAATTTATAGGTTGTATTGTTAGCTTTGTGAGGAAGTTTCTAGAGCTTGGGACTAGGGCCCACATTGAGGCTTGATTTGGTCGTATTTACAGTGCAGATTCATTTAAGGGGTAAATGCGTTAAAAACTCATGAATCTCTTGTTTTATAGTAGGCTATTTGTTAGCTGTATGGGGATGGTTCCACATTCAAGCTCGATTAGTTCGTATTTACATGTCGGTTCATTTAAGGGGAAAATGCATAAAAGTTTCACGAGGCATGCATTTTATAGGTTGTATTGTTAGTTGTGTGTGGCCGATTCTACAGCTTGGACCTGGCCCTGCATTGAGGCTAGGTTAGTTCGTATTTGCATCACATAGGTCCATTTTAGGGGCAAATTTGTGAAAGTTTCACAAGGCACCTGTTTTGTAGGTTGTATTGTTACTTGTGTGCGGAAAGTTCTAGAATTTGGACCAAGCCCCACATAGAGGCTCTATTAGTTTGTATTTGTATTGTGTTGATCAAAATTAAGGGGCTAATATGTAGAAGTTTCACGAGGCACCTGTTTTGTAGGTTGTATTGTTACCTGTGTGCGGAAAGTTCTAGAACTTGGACCAAGCCCCACTTTGAGGTTTAATTAGTTCGTATTTGTATTGTGTAGGTCAATTTAAGGGGCAAATATATATATATATATAAAAGTTTCACAAGGCAACTATTTTGATATTGTCATTTAAGTTGTATCCAATTTTAGAATTGTTTAATGGGCACCCTCTTTTAACAAGCTTCAGAAAAAACTCCTCCTTTAGCAACACCACCATTGCAACCACCCGTCGTCACATATGTTTGAATTAGGTCAACTGACAAAAATAATCATTTATAGATAATCCATAAACGTAAAGTTAATACTTTATCTAAATTCAGATACCCAAACAAAATATTATGTGCACTATTTAGATTTGGTAAATTTTTTTACAGAATTAGAAAATCAATCTAGTTAATTAAAATTTGCCCAAAACTTTTAGCTCTTTTTTTTTCTTCAATTGGCTTATTGAATTTCGATCACATGTGTATGAATTTGGGGTAAATACATGCCCTGACCTTATGCCAAAATATCTAAATTTGGCTTTCATTCAAGGGACATACTTCAGTAAAAATGTATGGAACTAATCTTTACAAGCCATTATATATGTGAAGTCTTGCTAAGGTAATAACCTCAATCAAACATATTTGAAGTTTGATCTTGTCAGGTCCATAATTTAGTAAGAAAATCTCCACTAACCTCGTCAAGGACATAGCTTCGGTCCAAAATATCTAAAGTTAAGACTCACATTGAGTGATGTTGGGTCTAAAGCGAACAAAGTTGCAAAACAATAAACCAACATTGAGTATAAATTAAATTGGGGGTCTAAGAATAGGTATTTTTCACTAACAGTATGTATGTTGTCAATTAGACAAGATTACTAGGTGATAAGATTAGGAAGGAGGATATTTGGGATAAGATGTGTGTGGCCTCTGTGGTGGATAAGATGAGGAGAGCGAGGCTTAGATGGTTCTTGTATATAAAGGCTTAAATGCGAAAGGTTAATTGTAGTGGATTTTATAAGATATAGGGATAGGCCGAAGAAATATTGAGGAGACTTGAAACACTCATAGCTTACCGCGGACATAACTCTAGATAGGAGGATATGGAGGTTGAGAATTAGAGTAGAAGGTTAGTAGGTATGTAGTCGCACAATATAGTTTCTCTTATCAGTGATATAAGTTTTTTTTCAACTTTCTTGTACTTCGATTCTATTATTACCAATTGTTTTCTTTGCTTGATTATTGAATTATTTGTTGGTGCTACTTGGTATTGCTTATGTATTATCTTTTCCTTCTTATTTTGTTATGATTTATGTAACACCTTGGAAATCTAGTAGTCTAAGCAAGGGACCAAGTGAGAGGTAATGAGCCAAAGAAGTGAGCCTGGGCAACCTTCACTTGGACCCATATGGGCCGTGAAGGGCACCACAAGTCGTGGTGCTGCCCATGGTGGCTCACAGTAGCTAGCCAAGGGAGGCTCACCTCCCACGACCACAATGACACCTCGTGGTGGGGACCACGGGTCATGGTGGTGCCCGTAGAGGGTGAGGCAGTGTGCTCCCCAAGGTTGCCTAAACTTGAGACCCTCCCACGAGCCACTTGACGGCTCGTGAAGGCCACTGCGGGCCGTGGGAAGGATCGTGGTCATAAGAGGCTAAGCGGTGGCAATCCAAGCCACTGGTCAAGGACCACGGCTCATGGAGCCCCTCGTGGTGGTGGTTCGGCAGAGTTTAGTTCAGGGGTTTTTAGGTCTTTTCCGATTTTTATTAAATCAAAGCTATATCATTTTACCCAAGGCTAGGACCCCCTATATAAATTATTTTAACCCCAAAACTCCCCCCCATTCAAGTCATCTCTCAAACTCACCAAAGAAATTGGTTTTCCTCTCCAAATATTTCTCTCTCTAGAATTTGAAGAAGGAGAAAGAGTTCAAGCTAGGATCAAGGTAAAGTCTCCTTTCCTCACGAATTTGTGGGTTTTGTTAACAAGGTATGATGACTTTTCATCCATAAAATCCTTTCATCCATGGAGCCCCTAAGATTCCCCAATTGAAAAGTAGAAATTCTCCAATTTGAGTTAGGGTTTTCTTCTAAAGTTGTGGGTCTTGATGAATGTTGATCCAAATGATTGGGTTATGATTGTTTATGCATGAATTGATAGGATTACATGTTTTTAGAATGAATTTACATATACCCATTTCTAGAAAGATGAAATTGATGTAAATGGGTTTTATGCCATGGAAGGAGAAATTATGGGTTTAGATGAATTCTTATAGGATTGATGAGATACATTAGAAGTGCTTTGATATTGAAGCATATATGATGATTTATGATTAGAATTGCTTTGGGATTGAAGCATATGTGATGATTATGATATTAATTGCTTTGAGAGTGAAGCATATATGATGATTATGAGATGTAGTGCTTTGAGAGTGAAGCTTATGTTATGAATTGATGATTATTGATGTGATTGTTGTGGAAGGGATAGTTCCCACATGAATTGCTTAAGTATGAATGTGAAATGTTTTCTCACATTGAATGATTCTAGATTGAAATGATTGCTCACCTAAAATGAATCTAAGCTAAAGGACTAAGAAATTAATGAGGCTAGAGGAGATTACCCTTGACCTCTAAATGAGAAGGATATGAGGCGATTACCCATATTCCTTAGAGTTGAATAAGAGGTGATTACCCATATTCCTTAGAATTGGATAAGAGGCGACTACCTTTATTCCTTGATGTTGAAAAATGGGCGACTCCCCACGTTCCTATAATGATGCTTGGACATCACTGTCAGGAGAAAAGTTTTTTGGAAAAAATAGAGATGATCAAGGAGATTAATGTGGAAGCGTATGTGTGGTTAATGAAGAACGATCTTGACAAATGGACATTGCACAAGGATAGAGGTAGGAGATGGGGCATGCTGACAACAAATAGTTCTGAGTCATTCAATAGTCTGCTTAAGTCAGCCAGGGGCCTACCAGTTATTGCAATGTTGAGACTCACTTACAATCAGATTGTGAACGGATTTGTTACAAGATCAAAATTTGTCAATTAGCTAGTACAACAAAAGCAACAATGAATGCCTAAACCATTCAAGATTTTTGAGGATAATCGAAAAAAGTCACAGCGTCACACACTCATCAACTACCACCAACAAAGGGAAAACATATATGAGGTGCAGACACATATGCATCATGGCCGTGGTGGTAATAAGCACATTGTAAATGCATTGCAAGGAATATGTCAATGTGGTAAATGGAAACCATACCACATTACATGTTCTCATGCAATTAAGGGATTTGACCAAATTGGGTATCAAGCATGGGAGCATATGGCACCAGAATTCAGCGTGCGTAACTACAAAAAAGCCTAGTACTCCAGACAATTCAATCCACTCGGCAGTGAAAAGTATTGGCCCGATAGTCCCTTTATTATGATAGCAAATAAAAAGTATTTACGAAAAGTGGGCGTAAATAAAACCACCCGTATACATAATGAAATGGATGTTCCCGCAAGTAGACTCACTTACAAGTGCTCAACGTGCAAATAAATAGGCCATGATAGGCGCAATTGTCCATCACGAGCTCGAAACGCATCATATGGTGGTAGTAGTTAAAGAAAGATGTTTAACTGTGTTAATTTATTTTTGTATTAATTTATATGCAACTTTTTATTTGTATTTTTGGTCATCCTCGAGTCATGTTTTTTCATTCACTTTTAAAAAAAAATACATACACAAAAATAATAAAAGTATACACAAAAATATGAACATACATGAATTTTTTCATTCACTTTTCCTAAAAAAAAAATACATACACAAAAATAATAATATTATGTTCCACAACCCTTTCTTGAAATACGTAGAATATCTCGCGGCCTAAGTCCCGTATATCCATCCTCATCTTCATTGTCCCTCTTCCTTTTCTTGGCCGGATGATCCTTTATGTTCACATTCTTTACAATTC